AGGGGTGTTCATACGGTATAACCGTACTGGAATTTCGGTAGTATACTGAAACTCCGGTACTTCAAAATTTTGTACTGTTTACCGAACCAAACTGTTCGGTTCAGTACGGTTCGGTACCGGTGAAACCAAAATATATTTAGAAAAGGTTAAAAGAAACAATTTAAACAAAATAATTCTTGAATTTGACATTCTAATTTTAATAATAGGCCCTAAAAACAAAAAAAAATGATTATCAATAGAGGCTAATTTGTAAACAATAGAAAAAATTATCAAGCTATAAGTATTTTATATTTTTTTATAACCATAAATGATTTAAAATAAAAGAATAATATATATATTAAATATTTCGGCATTCAGAAGGGTATACCGGGCGTCAATACCGTATACTGTACCAAATACCGGAATTAAAAAAAAATACCAAATACTGAACCGTTCGGTATTTGGCTCGTACCGAATTTTCAGTTCAGTACGGTTCGGTCGGTTTACCAACCAAATGAACACCCCTAATTATAACTACAAGTCTGGATTAACTATAATATAACATACAATGTGCAATTTTGCAATTTGGCTTGAGATTGGTACAAGTCCCTTGTATAGATGACTGATCAAACTATCAAAAACATATAATATCATGCTTCAATAAATGATTAATAAAAAATAAAATAAAAAATCTATTTAAGTAGGTAGGTTTCTAAGCAAACGAAGAGCAAGCATCCACTCCGGTTTTTGCGAATTAACAAGTTTCCTCAAAACCGGAACCGCTCCAGCAGCTATAATCGCGGCATGATTCTCTTCATCCATACTTAAATTATACAGCACACCTAAACTCGCCTCCACAGCCTTACTACTCCCGTTTCCCAACACCTCCATGAGTACAAATATCCCTCCCTCCGAAGCAACGGCTCTCGTCGAGTCAACCACCCCTTGGGAAATTATCCTCTGCAGCTCCACCACAGCAGCTTCCTGCACCTGCTGCGACAGCGACCCTTTGATCTGCTGTATCAGCCTCGGAATCGTTTCGTAGAGAGTTACTTCCATGTTAATCGGATCCTCAATGTCCAGGTGGCGGTTTGATAGAGCGCCGAGTTTGACCAGGCATGCGGCCACCCAATTCTTGAACTGGAGAGGAATTCTCGATGAGAGGATTGCGCGAAGTAACTGCGTAAAATTGTAGGAATTCACTGTTTGGCGAAACTGTTGGTGGTCGAGCAGTTTTGTTAGTAAACGTGAAGCTGCAGATACTGCTGCACCTGCTTCTTCGAGTTCAAGGATATTCACTTCTGTATCGTACTCCGTTTCTGCTTTACAGTTCTTCGATTAAATTTAATAATTAAGGGAAGAAAAAAAATCAATTAATTTCTTGGTAATTAATTTATGCAATTGTCATACCTATTAAAGATTTCTGTTGAAAAACTGCTTCGAGACCAGATTGAATGTCGGATGAGATGAGCTTTTCGATACAAGGCTCGTTCGTGAAAATGAAGTCTAGTATGGAAGCAGCTTTCGTCTGCAAATTAGGGTTTGATGTCTTCAAGATATCCACAAGGCACGAGAGGAAAGTCGAATCAACGAGGATTCCTTCTTCAGCATTGGTCTGTGTGCTGTCAAATTAAATATTTCCTTATGAACACTTCCAAGAAAGATACCAAACAAAACCGGAATTTTCTTTTTTTTTTTTTATAAAAAAAGTAGATTATGAACGCATCTCAATGAAGTTTTACCCGAAAAAAGAACAAAAGCATCATTCTACCCAAAATTTCTAAGGGTATCCAACACTACCAAAAGCATCATTTTTTTAAAAAATCGAGTCATTCTTGTAATAACTTGTATACTCGGGTAAAGATATAAATGGCACGTGATTATTAAAAAAGATTAGCGAATATGAGTGGCTGCAAATGATTGGAATTCTTTTTATTCAATGGCAGCCAATCTTACTCGTAAAGATATCATTTGCAGCCAATCATATTTTTAATGGTACACCATTACAAATTTACAATAATTTTTTTCGTTTTCATATTCATAGCAGGAGCATTAGATAACATATGACGTGTCGATGGAATTCGAATATGGAGTCCAATAAGAACGAACCTGGAGGTAATTTCTGACGAGACCATTTCACGGCTAGGGTCTAAAATCCGAGCAAGAATATCTATAATCTGCAGTTTCGACATTATATATAGTTTTTCAAACTTCAGTAACCCAAATTAAAAATGTCGAAATAATAGTTTAGAACTTGACGGATGATATACGGAAGCACTACTACCATTGAAGTCAAGCTGTGAGAGGTCTCCGAATTTGACTGCTTCAGCAGATTTACGAGAGGTTTTAAAACACCTTCCGCTTCAATTGTCTGACAAACATGATTGCTGGACCACAACATTTCCAAAAATATTAGCATAAACCAATTTTTAAATATTCCACTACAAAAGATTTTAAGTAAATTAGCGCCTCGATAACAGAAAATTCTCAAATATATCAGCTTACGATAATTCAGCAATATACATGCATTTGTGTGCGTGTCGTCTTGAATGTGTATATTCTACAACTAAAAGCCAAGAAAAAGCGAGCACCCAAAATCCCATTCCCTCGCCCTATTTACTTAGGCCTCGTTTGGTTCCTAAGATAAGATTAGCCACTATAACACTAAATAATCTAAATGAAACCCCAATTGCATTATTTTGACCATGGGAGGTCTAATAGACAATCTCTCAGTGAATCAAGATAGGACATGATCAAATAATATTTCTGGGTCGACCCGGAAAATTATTGGGTTTACCAAATATCAAACAAAGTCCAATTATTTAATTAATCATGGCTAATCACTCTAACCAAACGAGGTCTCAAGTCCTTTCTTTCTCATACCACCTTCACCACTCTAAACAGTCTACCAGATGGAACCAGTTGGACATTAAAAGAAAATATAATAACAGCAAAACGAATGACAACTCATAGAGCACATATATATAGACAGACACACACACACACACACACACACACACACACACACACACACACACACACACACACACACACACACACACGCACGCATACATATATATAACTGAGTACCATAATTACCTGATGGACAGCCTGTCCAAAGCCCGTATTACAGCCAATCTAACAGTATCACTCGGATGATTAATCAACTGAACAAGATGCTTGATAGCACCTGCTTCTTTAAACGAGACGCGCATATGTTCGCTGATCGAAGCATCAGAAATCGACTCAGCAGCTCTTGCAATAGCCGACTCATCTTCAAGTCCGAGAATCAAAACCAAACGAGCAACAGCATCCACCCACGGCAAAAGCGTGGTCAACCTTTGGACGGAGGACGATTCGCTGTCCGATTTATTACCATCTTCGATTTCAATAGCTCCTATACGTGCAAGAAACTGCTGCTGCGTTCGCCCAATTACGGCATTCTTCTTTGCCTCCTCTAAGTCGACATCTTTGGTGTCAATGTTTAATCCGAGCAGAAGTTCTGAAGCACCGTATCTTGAAGGAATTTTGGAGCTCTGTTCGATCTTTGTACCGTCGGGCAAAGATGGCCATGAATATAAAGCTGGTCTGAAAGATTTGTAGGCTGCAGCACCGATTAACGGAACCAGAACTAAACCTTCCTCCATGATAAGTATTTTATTATACTCGTCTTTCGCGAGTTCCAATAATGCATTCCGTGCTACCTTCCTTACGACTTTAGATTCTTCCACGTCAGCCGTCAAAATCTTCGCCTGCATTTGAAGTACTGAATAGTGAATACTACTACTCCGACGAAGATTTAATTAAAACAACTCCCTTAATATATTACGGGTAATAAATCATCAATTAACAGAAAGATTCATTTTTTATCATTCTTAATCAAGAAAAGCTAAGAGACGAAGCCTCACCAATTTCGGAAT